AAATTGATTGCACAGATCCTAAGATATAAAGAGGAACTTGCTGAATTTTTTAGGGATGAACTTCGTATAATCATTAATCCTTTTGAATTTGTTATTGTTGAAAAATTGAATGCCGTATTAGAAGTTTTTAATAACGCAACTCTTACTTTTTCCCATGTTTACCAACCAACTACAAATACATTTTTTAAAGAGTGCATTATAATCGCAACATGTTTTCGTGAAAGTATGGCTGATCCAGATTTGTACCCTTATGTCTCTCCTATGAGAGATAAATGGTGTACTTATTATTTGTACATTCCTGATATTTATAAAATAGGTATTATTTGTGATCCACGATTTAAGATTGAAAGTTTTAAAATTCTAATTGAGTAATACTACAGTTGTTTTTTAGATAAAAATAGTTATTACTACAACTATTTAGTAGAATGGAAAAATGAAAGAGATAATGCTATCACTCTTTTTGAGGATTTGTTTAAGGAATATCAAGGGTTATACGGTACTGTACAAGAAGAAACAGCACCACCTCCGCCCCCGAAATCAAAAAAAGGTTTTGCCGGCATAGTCGGTGGCCTTTTTGCAAAGAAAGGGAAACGTGCCCAGTCTTCGACGAGTTCAAGTGGTACAACAGTAAGCTCGCACAACGAACTTGCTATGTACCAGGGTGTGCCATGCGATTACGATGACGACGATGTCGATTTTGACGTGCTCGGATGGTGGAAGCGGAACGAACACATGTCCCCATGTCTCGGCATGCTAGCAAGACAAGTGTTGTCTGTCCCAGTATCAACCGTAGCAGTTGAACGAGAATTCAGTGCTGGCGGCAACATTCTAACCGACTACCGAAGTTGTCTTAACGCTGAATCTCTTGAAACACTGGTTTGCAACCAAGATTGGCTCTTGGCAAGACGTCGGGCTCAAGAGTCATCGTACCAACTCGAATCGGAGCATTACATGAATGCAACCACAGACGGAAGTCCGAGTTCTGAAGAATAAGTTATAAATTTTTTTTATGTTAATGTAAATATGTAATTAATTTTTTTAGGTGAGCGATATATAAGCTCCTTCGAGGGTTTCTTTACGGTTCTTTACCTCGTCGCTTTTTTTGAACCGTCAGGATATTAAATGTGGTTGTTCTTCAGTTAGTGTATTACTCATTTTCAATATTTAA